CCTCGGGGTGGACACCACCAGCCCTCCCACACATGTTCCATATAGCTCAGCCATTAGACACTACATAGAGGACTTTGTTGTGGGCGGAGCTCTTTAAAAAAGAAACAAGACTCACCCGAGGGGTCGCTGGATGAAGGCCGGGTGTAATTGTTGTAATTGTTGAACTCCGATCGTGAAACCTGCAAAACCAAGAAAAATAATATGATGTTACCCGGAGCTACAGAACAAGATGGCGGAATAACAGCAACAGATATGAAAAGGCCAAATCAGTCTTCTCCCCATTATGGGTGGAGGCTCATGGATTCAACCAGTGGCTTCTTTTATGGATGGTTATGGACTCACCCAGTGGCTTATTATTATAAGTAGATGGTCATGGACACACCCGGTGGCGTATTATTGGTGGATGGTCATGGACTCAACCGGTGGCGTATTATTGGTGGATGGTCATGGACTCAACCGGTGGCTTATTATTGGTGGATGGTCATGGACTCATCCACTGGCTTATTATTGGTGGATGGTCATGGACTCACCCACTGGCTTCTTATTGGTGGATGGTCATGGACTCACCCACTGGCTTATTATTGGTGGATGGTCATGGACTCACCCGGTGGCTTATTATGAGGGAGATGGTTATGGAGTCACATGCTGGCTTCTTATTGTGAGGGGGAAGGTCATGGACTCACCCGGTGGCTTATTATTGGTGGATGGTCATGGACTCACCCACTGGCTTATTATTGGTGGATGGTCATGGACTCACCCGGTGGCTTATTATTGGTGGATGGTCATGGACTTACCCGGTGGCTTATTATGAGGGAGATGGTTATGGAGTCACATGCTGGCTTCTTATTGTGAGGGGGAAGGTCATGGACTCACCCGGTGGCTTATTATTGGTGGATGGTCATAATTTCCCCTGTTGACTTCTTAAAAAACACTGGTGGTGAAGTTCCTAACTCCAACCATCCAAGACAGCCATTGCCAGGAGTCCCGACCCTTTCCCACTCTACCCAAAATAAAATAAAATAAACTTGGCTTTAGAGATACTTGAAATGGGCACCTCTGGGGACGCGATCTCAGGACAAATACAAGTCATATGGAATATTTGTACTCAAGTGAGGTAGTAACATGACTCAGAGGAGAAGATGGACACCCTCACAAACAATGCCTTCCAGACTCTGTACTCCATAAGAACAGCTGGAGGCAGACGTTCCATGGGTGGCATTTGGAGACTTTGTGTTAGGTTTGGAGGAGACTTGATGGTCGGAGGTCAGATTAGATCAATAAGAAGTAGGACTTGGGGGGGGGGTGTCTTACCACTCTGGAGGTTGCGTGGTTTGGCTCCCAGATAGGCGAGGTTAACGTTAGCTTTCCTCCCATCAATGATGGGATTGGGGTCTTTACAGGCTCGGTCGGCGGCCGCCCGGTCAGACATCGTTACCTGTAAGAGAAGAACAATGATTGGCTGTTAGGGACACGAGAACAATTCAGGGGTCATTTATATCAAGAAAGAATTCTACACTCATGTCCCCAGAGGGGCCCTAAATCCAGGCTTGGTGAATACCATACTACAACCATCAGATGAAGAGACACGTGTGATCTGCAGAGGATGGGACACTCAGGGGGCGGCTTACGTCAAGGGAAACCAATGATAATTGGACGGGAAGATCACACCCAGCTCACCGCTTCCCCCCCCACCCCCCCTAGGATCATCCAAACAGAGGATTGGTGATCTGGAGGAAAACTGTCTGTGGGCACCTCAACAATCATATACACAATTTGCCACTCTGAATTTTTAACAGTGAGCTAGCAAAAGGAGCAAGACATTAGCTGGCAGTACCCTCCAAAGCTTCCATGTAGGGGAAGCGGGGTTGGGAGACCTTGGGGTGCATGCAGATGATATAATTGGGTCAGAAGACCTTGGGGGGTCTGCAGATACTGCCATGGGATGTGAAGTCCTTGGGGTTTCTACAGACACCATTGGCCAGGAAGACCTTGGGGCGCCTGCAGACGGCACCATTGGGGCGCCTGCAGACGGCACCATTGGCCAGGAAGATCGCGGGGTGTCCGCAGATGGGACCATCGGCCCGGAAGACCTCTGGGCGCCTGCAGACGGCCACCATCGGCCCGGAAGACCTTGGGGTGTCTACAGAGCACCCCTCCCTCTTTCTAAAGGCCAAATATAAAGGACGTCCACTGTGACCCATTGTGTTGAGGCCGTTCACCTTGTGACCCTCTGCCAAGTTACAACATACAGTCTGATCACTGTGGGAGAGGAAGAAAATGCTCCCTCCAGCCAAGACAAAGTCACTGATTGGAGCTCGAGGACCATGAAAGGTGGAGCTCTTCTAAACATTTATAGTTTCCACGTATTTGGGCACTTTAGCAATTTATTTATATAGACTTGTAAAGGGACTACAAGATTACCCCTCGAGAGCCAAATCCCACCACTTCCTCCCAGGTACTCATCAGCCTGCAGGAAGATTGGCCACACACAGGAAGATCTCTCACCTACAATGGGGGGGGGTCACAACAAGGACCAGAACCCAGCGCCGCCATTTCTAGATGACCGATGGCTGCAGACAACACACAATAAACTCCTTATTCCCTTTATCCCATAGGCTGCCATAGAGGTCCTCTACGCAGCACCGAGTCCGCTACGCAGCACCGAGTCCGCTACGCAGCACCGAGTCGGCGCAATTGTTGGCTCCCTGCCGCTTGCTCTTATTAGGTCTACAAAAACATGGCCGTCCCAATACAAAAAACATCCCAATTTCTATGGAGTGCGTCTCCATGCGTGTGTTCTCTGTGTCCTCTTTACACTCCGGGGGGTTTCCAGCCCATGAGGAATCGCAACTTATTTTTTGTTTTGTATCATTACAGAAATACAACAAAGAGATGTAAAATATTTACAAACATCCAAAAGAAACAGGAACTC